TGGTGGCTGACTTCATGATAACGTTTACATTGAGGACCGTAAAACTTACGGTGACACAGATTGCAATACTCGGCGGGGCGGGTACCAACCACATACTCCGGACAATCAAAGCGTCCACACGCGGAGCAGCGTCTCCCTCGACAAGAATGATGGGATCGATCATCGGTGTTGAACCCTCGTTCACAGTCCAGGCAATAATAGGAGCGATTGACAAACGCGGGAAAGGACGTGCAACCATCAAAATGATCATTGGATTTCAGTAAACGAATCTGATGAGGGGCGGCGGGGCCTTTAAAAATTAAAAAGAACGGTTTCATCCGGGTCATCACCAAGAGTTGATAGTGAGATCTCAACGCTTGTTGAAACTGACGAAGCTCGGGGATGCCACAGGGACCCTCCACCACACCCGCTTGCTGATGAAGAGCCTGGGCTTGACGTTGTTGCACAGGAAGTCCACGTCTGAGATTCTCCCAGTCGCGAAACCCGTCCACGCCTTGATTTTTATGGCAATGAGCACGCATGGTGACAATGGCGCGGGCACAACATAAAGTATCTCTATTTTTGATGGTGATAATGCATCTCTTTTTCTTGTTGACCCGATCCAGGCATAAACGGCCGGCATTGCGTTCTTTATGTCGACCAGACCCTGGGCCGGGCATGGACACGAACACGACATCCACTTGGAACCCACGATCGGGGTTGAAGGCTTCATTGCTGTTCAATTTTCCGGCCAAGGTGGCCAACATCTCATCCAATCGAGCCGTGCGTTGTAAAAATTCTCCCACAGTGAAATTGGCGGTTTGATACGCGTGAGTGAACCCATGCGCTGTAATAGCAAAGTTCACAAAATGATGGGCAGGTCGCTGCTCGCGGTCGAGTTCTGTTTCAATGGCTTGATGCAAGGCTTCCGTGAGGGCCATCCCAATATTATCTCCAGGACCAGGATCCCGCAATTGACGCAATTGCGCATTGAATTGTGCGCGTTCCACTACATTCCGCCAGCGGCGTCGTCGACCAATAGGTTGCATGATAAATTGGAAGAGAGGGCCTCGAGCGGGAACGGCTCCGCCCAATTGTTCCCACTGGTCATAAGCGCGGTTTAATAGAGCTTCTTCTTCCTCATCACTGTCAGGATACCAGTGGTCCTCCGCCATGACGGAGGAGGCAATTTGAATGTTCCCGCGCCAGACGCGGACTTTTATAGACCCAAAAACACGTGATCAGATGAACAGGGATTGGTGGACTTGACTCAGGTGAGAGTCAGGTGAGGGTCAGGTGAGGGGTTGAATAGACAGGAGGAGGATTGAGGGGGGTGCCCCCCCATGGGTACAGAATTTTCCAATCTCCTCTGAGCCTGGACCGAGAGCAGTGATTGGCGGAAAGATGGCTAGATATAGACCCTCGTTCAGACCAGACGTCAGTTGCGTTCGAGACATGCCGAAAGATCCTGAGAAAGTGAAAGAGGCTAAACATAGGTGGTACCTGAAACACAGGGAGAGGATTGTGGCACAGAAACGGGAGAAGCGGGCAGCTCAGAAAAAACTCGAACCGCCCAAGCCGCCCAAACCGCCTCCGACCCAGGAACAGTTGGCCAGAGCTCGTGAATTGAACCGGTTGGCCTGTAACCGATACCGAGCCACACACGGAGATCAAGTACGGGCGCTGAATCGCAAGTACTACCATCGACACCGCGATAAGATCGTCCAACAGCAACGGGACCGTCGTGCCCGAGCTCGAGAGTCACCCAATCCTTTTCGAAAATTGCAAGCCTTGGCCGATGAGTGCACTGCCCGTTTACTAGAGTTGGAACATGGATACACCAGGATCGCGCCAGCCCCCCAAACCAAGGAAAAAACGGGACCCTGTAAAAAACAAAGCGCAACAAAAAGCGTATCGGCAACGTCTATATGCCAAACCCAACGGCATGGAGGATGTCAAGGCCCTTCACCGTCGCCGCTACCATGAACGAATGGCTCGGTTGAAAGTCAGTGGTGAGTACGATGCCTTCAAAGCTAAAAAATCTCAAGAGGGCATGCAGCGCTACTATGGGATGACCAAGGAACAGCGGGAGGAGGTCAAACGTAAAAACGCCCAGTGTCAGAAAAACTGGCGGGAGAAAATGAAAGAGCGAGGGACCTACCAGGCTTATCTGCAACGGACCAATGCCCATCGACGAGAGCAGGCAGCCCAGAAAAGAAAAGAGTTGGGCGAGGAAGGGTGGAAAGCATTGCAAAAACAGAGGTACAACAAGCGAATGGAAGCCATTCGACGTCGAGAATGGTCCTGGTTGGACGAGGAATTAGAGCGTCTCTTTCCCCTCCCGTGGTTGCCATTGGACTTGCCCCTAAGTGTACCTAATGAGGACAGTGTGCATACCCTTCGCGCGGAGGCCTTGCAAAAAATGGACTCGTGCTTGTAAGAACAAAAGTTTAATTAAATCATGTGTATTGTGCTATTGAACATGGTGTCTTGTTTTTATGACTAAAGGGGGTTTACATGCCGAATCGAAGTTTAGCTTTCATAATGCGTCTCACAATACGCTCTGTTAAATTTTTACTACCGGGGAGTTGATCAATCTTGGCAATCATCTTGCGATCCGCCGCCCATTTGTCTTTCAACGTCTTGGCTTTATCATAATCCATGTCATGGGCTTTGGCAATCCTGTCCAACCGGTTGATACCGGGATCCCCACGGGCCAATCGTTTTTTCAAATGAGTACCAGGGCCCATGTACTGATAACCAGGCCAATGAAATTCAATACCGGTCTTGTTAAGGAGGTTCTGTACATCAAATAATTTGCCGCCCCGTTGCGACTGTCGTCGTCGTCGCCTCGCTCGGGAACGGGAGGTCGCAGCACGGCGTTTGCGTCCCATCTTAGGGGGTTTTCCACGATTTCCAATCCAAGGCTTTCTTGGCCCAACCTGCGGCTTTCTTTTTGGCGACGCCTGCAGCTTTCTTTTTAGCACTGTCCGCGGCTCTTTTGCGAATCCCGCGCTTGAATGATTGCGTAATAGTGTCTGCACGTTCTTTAGGGGTTTCCCACGGGGCTGTTCCAGGCGCCTCGGAAAAGGGCAACTCTTCCGCCAATTCTTCACTGCTCAACGGGGTCGTAAACTTGAGTTTCTTTTTAGCACTGGGGGTGAACCTTGGCTTGGGCGGGACAAGCGGTTTTCTGGGTCCACGCGTCGGGGTGCCTTGTTTTATACCCTGGGTGGCCTTAACCAATTGCGTGAACCAGGCTTGCATGGGACCCGCTTCAAAATCATCGTCGCCCGGCGTCGTGGCCCCGGCAGCGGTCACACCCCCAGCAGCAGCTCCAAACGGTTGGCGCACTTTTTTAGTCCAATGGCGTAATTGACGGCTGACGGCTTTGAGTTGAGGCCGTTTCCAAGCATCGGGGACATCACTGGTCAGAAGTACATGTTGTTTGGCGGCTAAATCGGCGGCTTTGGTCAAGCGGGTGTCTTCCACCAATTCTTGTTTGTACTGGTCTCGTAATTGTAAAAAAGCCGGGGCGTTGTTCACCGTGGTGCTGACCATTTCGGGTTCCATGGTGCAACTGAGGGGTCGGGTCTAGCGCATGCAACGTTTATAACATCGGTAGAGTTCCGGCCAAAGGGCACCCCCTTTTTGAGCCATCATGATGGCGCGTCGGCGTTTGACAGAATGGGCGGGTTTAGCCATAGCGCGTAAACTCTGAGCGTGAGGTTTGAGCAACGTAATGGTGTGTCGGGAACGGGGGACGGTGCCACGGAGGGTGTTCATCACCAATTCACTGACAGCATTGATCTGATCCGCATTGGCCATCCTCAACAATTCTTGTCGTTTGTGTTGATTGGCTTCTTGTAAGACACTTTTTAAGAACGGGGCTTGACGTTCCATGCGCCACCCCATGATGAATCTTGAGTTCAGGCAAGGACCAAGGTCTATTTATGGTAAAAATGGCGCCACACCGACCACACAATTCGCCATGATAATGCCGTTGCATGTGATGTCGACACCGTGTACACAAAGCGGCGTCATACTGATCGTCCCAATCCAACGCAAACGTGACGGCTTTGCGTTTTGGGCGTCGTTTAGTCTGGGCGTCGTAGTCGGATTCTGGGTTTGTATTTCCGGAGATACAAAGGCGAGAGAGCCATTGCCAACAGCGGGAGTTTAGCGCCACGTTGGTGTCCACGTCGTCGGCGTCGTATTCGAGGGACATAACGATGTCGGCGACCGTTGGGGCCACGAACCATTCTTCAATGAGAATCGTGTGTCCCACCAGGCGTTTCTTTTATACTTTTTTTTACATGATGGAACAATTGAAGGATTCTCCCGCATATTTTTTCCGTTTGCCTGAAGCCACTTCTCGTCGACGTTTTTCACCAATTTTGATGGCACGCTTGGTTTGATGCTCCCCGATGGCTTTGGTACCAGCATAACCGGCTTTGAGAATGCCTAGGGGCAGGCTAGGCGCGACACCTCCTACTTGACTATAGGTCACACGCCGCGGTCGACGTCGTGTCGTCCTGCGTTTGCGTTTCCGTCCCATGACGACTCGTTTGGAGAGCGGAGCACCGCGATCCTCTTTTTTATACATTCACATCAAGCTGCACCCCGCTTTTTTGGCATACCCCTTCTTGACCACCCACTTGTCGTACGAGTCCTTGCTACCGCTGGCGCGATACTGGCGTTTATAGTCGGCCACCTGTCGTTTGTTGGCCTTCATCTCGGCTTTGGAAGGAATCTTCCACATATTCTTGTCCGCCAACAACTCAAAGCCTTTTTTGACATCCACGAAGAACGGCGCCGATCCACCCTTGATCCTACGTCGACGTGATGTTCGTCGAGTCGTGGTGCGTTGGCGTTTGCGTCCCATCGCGTGTCGACAACGGCCACACATTTTTGGGACAGGGGAAGAAAGGTCCCTGTTTTTATATACTACGACCTCGTCCACGGGCTCGGCCCCGTCCGCGTGCTCGGCCACGGCCCCGTCCTCGGCGTGGTGGTCTGGGTGGACTTGGGCTGGACGTTCGGGTGGATGTGCGGCGCACCGAGGGACGACCCCCCTCTTCGTAGACGGTGGTGACGGTATTAGTGTGCGTGATGTTGCGGATGCGTCGACCTCGTGCCCGTTCTTGAGCATCTTCATTGAGCAAATCCAACCGTCGCCTTAAGCCTCGCCGTCGATCGTCATCATCGCCATCCTCGTCATCGGACGGAGGGGACGAACCTGGGGAGGGTGGGGAGGGCACCCTGGGGCGCCGTCGCGGTTGTTTGGCGGCGATGGTGGGGCGTCCAGTGGGGGTCGTCACCGTGGAGGTAGTGGTCCTGGTCCCTGCCCCGGCACTGCGGCGACTGGTGGTGGGGCGTGTTCGGGTGGACGTGACGGGTCGTGGTCGGCTGGTAGTGGTGGTGGTGGTCGTGGGGCGTGTTCGGGTGGAGGTGGTGGGGCGGGTTGGGGCAGCTGTGGTGGTGGTGGCAGTGGTGACGGGGGCTGTGCCAGTGCCTGCCACGGGCGGGAGCGTGAAGGCATTCAAGGCATCGTCTACATTGACCGGGTAAGTCAAATTGAACTCGTCAATGTCTTGCTGCAATTGGGTACGATCCACGGGTCGAGACAATTCGGTCACCATGTCCGTCATGCTGCTGAGATCTCGGAGGACCGAGGGGGAACCTACCCCCGCGGGTGAGTGTGTGTCCATGCGAGCAGCTAACTCAGTATGTTGTCCGCCTTCTCTTTGCCGTCGTTGACGTTCGCGTTCTCGTAGCAACACGTTTTCGAACGGCAGGGACATCCGCCCGCAAGGTGTGGACTTGCGCTTTGCCTTCTCGGGGCGTTAAATGACTCCACAAACGGTAGCGATCATCCGACGCCGGATGTACATCCAACATCAAATAGCCAAAAGGTCGAGCCGTGATGCGTTTAAATAGGCGCAACACTTGACGCCACCGATCCGGAAAGGCTTGCAATAAAATGGTCCGTATGCCTGTTTGATCCCGGGGGTTTTTGAAGGCCACAATGTAATGCGCGTTGCGATTAATGGTCTTGGAAAATTTGCCAGGCGGGAATAAATCTTGCGTCAAATACAACACCGTGATGTTACGATGATGCGAATCTTTGGTGAACAAATCCAACACGCGCTTGTCTTGTCCCCCTTCTTCCATCAGGTCGTCCAAGACCAATACCCCGCCGCGCGTTCGACCAAACCATTGCGTCAAATGACGGGGGTCCGGTAACCCGCGATAAAATTGAATTCCATCCTTTTTTTGCATCCGCTCGAACCGGGGTTGCCAGCGATCATAGGCATACACAATCTTGCGGGGTTTGACTTGAAACACGTTCAGGTACCGTAACCATTGTTCCACCAAATCCGTCTTGCCACTGCCCGACGGGCCCGCGATAATCACACTGCTAGGTTGACGGATCATGATTCCCACGGTCGAGGATGACGTCGATAATGACCCGTAGCTCCTTTGGCACCCATGCGTTTATACCGTTTGTCGCGTCCCAATTTATCCCCGATTTTATACGCTTTGGCCAATACGCTCATGATGCCTCGTCCGTTTTGGCGAAAGTAGGGTCGTCGGGTGCCCTGTCGTTGTCGTTGTCGTCGCCGTCGTCTGCGGTGGGGCATTCTGTCCAATACTCGCGATACACACGTGGTGATTCAGACTGGATCAGACCTTCCATGATCTCTCTTAAATACGTTTCGCTCATGCTATCCATATACTGTTTGAGAGAGACCCAATCTTGGTCTTGGGCCAATTGTCGGACCATGAGCCAATGATACCCATCCCACGCGTCAATCCCTCGCACCGTGTTGACCCGTTCGATGGGGTGTTCCCACCAATACAAGGTTTCTTCGAGAATGAACGCATCCACAATACGCTGGACATCGCTTCGCGTAATCATCATGAGAGACAAATGACCACTCGTTCACAACACATCTCGTTTTATGGTTTTTATTAACATACACAAGGATGACACGTGATAAAGGCCTGGCGGCTTACATTCTTTTGCCCCCCATCCCGTCGGGCATCCACTTCATCTTGTAATTCCTGTTTAATCACCCGTTTCAACTGGTCGGCCACTTTATGATCATTCAACACTAAATTATCGCAACTCCATTGACTCAAAAATTCTTGATAGGACCGTCCTTGTGCCCGGGCTTTCAAGAAAAATAACGCATAATGGCCACAGGTTTGACTATCCAGGGCTTGCAGGGTCTGGTCACTGCGCGTCAGGTACTTCCATTGACCCCACCATTGGTGCAACTCCGGGGTGGTGTACACGTGCAGGGGTAGACCATAACTGTCAAAGATCTCGCACTGGTTCTTTTCGGTCCACAGGCCCAACCAATGCTGGCCCGGTTCTCCCGCGGGGTCCGTGTTGACAATGTAGGCTTGACGAATCTCCTTGGCGGGGGATCGGGGGAGTTGGTCGGCGGGATGCACCCCATGAAACACGCGTCGTAATTCGGGGTCTTCCAAGGCCAGGGTCCGCAACACAGTATCACTGAGTGCCACAAACTCCATGCTCGGTGTCTTTTGACTTCTGATTTCTCAGCCGTTGATGTTGTACTTTATACCTCCCAGATGGTTGATCTCATACATGTTTTCATACTCGCTCCATATCAAGACGGTGACGTTGTGTCCCACAGCCGCCGAAAAATCAATGATCAATCGCGTATTGCCCGATTGACGGGGGTTGCGATATTCAGGGTCATCGGCTTTTTGACTAGGCACATTGTTGAACATGAACAAGGTACAATTCTTGCCTTGTCCCCAATCACCAGGCAGTAGCATGGGAATCTTGTGTTCATTGTAGGCACCCATGGCTTGTAGAAATCGATCGTAGCCCAGCAAATCTTCATAGGCTTGGTCTCCTGTCAATTGCAGGGTTCTGTAAGGGTATTCTTCTCCATTCAAGGTCTGTCGTACTTGGGTGACCCCAAACTTTTGAAAAGCAAAAGGGTATCTTTCCAGGTTTCCATTGAAGGCATCCGAATGCAATAATCCCACAATCACTCGATCAGGAAATCGTCCCACAAACACATTGTCTTGTTCCCATTGGGTGGTGCGTCCATCAAAGGAAAAGGTGCGAATTTCACTCCGCACCACAGGGTAGCGGGCAATCTGTTTGTTCAGTTGTCTTTCTTTTTGCAGTCTGACATAGACAGCAGCATTCAGGGTCACTTTTCTCATCAACAAGGTGACTTTGATGTCATCATTGTGGATGGCTGGAATTTTCTTGACGTTTAAGGTGCCTTTGTTGGGGGAGCCCATCAGGTAGATGGTCTTGGGGTTGAGGAACAGTTCAAAGTCCATCTGGACATTGGGGACCAACAATTTGCTTGTATGGAGGGTGGGCAAATGGGGGCGCACGATGAAGGTGTGCCAATTTTGACTCAGTAACTTGCTGGTCAGGGTTCGCAAGTCTGCATTGCCACTCCAATTCGCGGCGACAGGGACATCGGAATTGGCGGCGGTGGCGCCTATTTCTTCTGCTACATTCAGCTGATTGACCCATCCTTGGGGAGCTAGCTTGGTGACTCCTTCTTCTCGGTTGTAATTCAGCAGGGTTTCTATGTAGGCTCTGTAATGGTAAGTGTTGCTCTGTTCGGTCACAAGGACGCCATTCATGCTCATGGTAATGTCTCGAAAGATGGTGTGGCCAAAATTGTTGACGCAGTAGACATGTCTGGTTTCGTTGGCATTGGAAATGAGTAGACCCGCATGCAGTCCTGTATAGTTGTTGGCTGGATCGGTCAGGCGCATTTTGACTTTGAAGCGGAGAGAATTGAGATCGTAATAATCGTCAGAGCCAGGAATGGAGAACGTGATGGGTTGGATGCCTGTCAAAGCGGGTTGAAACTCCACCTCCCGCGAGGCTTCGTACCGATAATCCACATCAGGCACGTCAAACAGTTCGAGCGACATGGTGCGATCTGTCCACGAGGTTCAACGACGTCCTCTTTTTATACCTTTTCGTAGTCTGTGCCAATCATGGATGGGATGCGCGGCGGGAAAGGGGCGGTGCGGAAAATCGATTTGAATGCGTTTTTTCAATCGGCTAAAGACGTTGCCTCCTTTCTGTTTCTTCTTCTTCTGTTTCCGGGCTTTAGCTTGATTGGCCCACAACACTGTTCGGAGATCCCCCTTGCCCAACGCCCCAATAATCTTGCCCCCTTTCATGCGGCGCAGGGCCTGTTCCACCCTCCATCGAGCAGGATTGATCCTATCGGCTGCTGTGGGGAACCCCAAAGGATTTTGGCGCCTACGAGTGGACGTGCCGAAAATCGTGCCCCCTTTCATCCTGCGCTGTAGGTAACGATCCAATTGGCGGGAGGACGTGTGCATCAGCGGATAACGCGCTGTCGTCGACTTGCCAAAGATCGTGCCTCCCACTTGATACGGTGAAATAAACCGTCCACGGGCCCGTTGCCGTCGAACGCGATTTTGCGATTTGAGAAAACCTCCTACACGTACCATTGTTTTCACAGTCCAAAGATGTCCCGTACACGTTGCGTGGCTCTTTTATAGGTATTTTGAGCGGTCCGTTTGACCTTGTGTTTGCCAGCCGTCCAAGCCATGGCGGGGGCTTTGCGTTTCAAGCCGCGACTGAGTTGGGCACTTCGATCCGCCCACGTGGCTGCAGCACTCTTGCCACGTTGAATATCTTGCAGTCCCGCTTGAGCTTGTTGCACGATCAAGGGTCCCGCGATTTTGATCAAGTCTTCGGCCAACCCTTTGCCCTCTTGCTTGGTGAGCACGGGCGTGTGGTACCGCGTTAAACTGCCTCCGCGCATGGTTCACGTCGTGTTTTGGACCTGCCAGAGACGTGGGGTGGCTTTTTATAGCTGTTTGAGACCAATGGTCACCAGGGTTTTGCCGGGGGGTAAAGGGGCCAAGGGTCCACTGGTACTGGCAATCTCCACTTCCAAGATGTCTAGTTGATTTCCTCGTAGTTTGATCCATTGGTGGTGCAGGGGTTCGGCTGTACTTTCCCCATCGCCGGTTCTCAACAATTGCACTTCCCGCAACAGGGGAAACTTGCCACTCCCTACCACCGTGGATTCCACCAGATCTGAATAGACCATGACGGTCCGTCGGCGGGTTCCCACAATCTTTTCAAACGAGGCATCCAGGTTATTCAAACGCCATTCAAACGCCTGGTGCAATCTCATCCATTTCACATTGTCTTTGGTCACGATGAAAAAAGCTCGGCTGGTATAGTTGACCCCCTCGTACACCTCCCCTTCCCAATCGTAATAGGCTCGATATCGACTCCCGACGGGACCCGTGGTCTCATCATAGGTCTGAACGGGGAGAGAATATTGCAGATTCGGCCCTATCAGATAATCGCTCTGGCTGCTTCCTGTCTTGCCCGTCTTGAGGCGCAGCAATCCAAACTTGAATGCAATGTCCACATTGATGTAAAACTCCACCATGTTGATTTGTCTATTGTTCAACAACTGCTTTTTAGGAATCGCTTCAATCACCAGAGACTCATCTTTCCAAGTCATTCGGGGCATGCCGTGTTTATTGACAAACACAATCGGTTTTCGGTCGCTATTCTTAATCAGTTCGCTCCATTGATCTTTCATCGCCGTGTACATGATGTAGTTATGCATTTGTTGCGCCACGCGTTTCCAAAACTGACTCCCCGTCGACACGATTTGAGTGGGATTCATGACATCTTCCAATTCAATCATACCGGTCACCGTGGGGGAACTCACGCTCAAATACCCTGAGGTCGATGGGTTACCCGTGTCTGTCCACAGACGCACCGATTGTGGATACTCGTATCGGACCACTTTGGTATGCGGATCCGCGGCAATGATGGCATTGCTCTGGCCTTGATCCGGGACGGTCAGGGACATTAATGAGGCATGCCAGCCTGTGCCTGGTAAGGACATGCGTTCGGGCAGACGGACCTTGAAACTGTTGTTGGCATTGTTGGGAAACTCGTCGGTCGGATCGCTGATGAGCGTCAAGCGTTTGATCTCACTCATGATGAAGAACAAGAGGCACGTTCCCCAGGGTGCAGGGTGCAGGGTCCTTTTATAGCCAAGTCGCCACTTTCTGTTTACTGCGAGGGACGCGTCCCACCACCGAATTGAAGGTCGATTGTTTAGGATGAAAACACACTTGCTGGGCAATGTTGGGAAAAGCCCGGGCCAGTTCCATCAGGGTCATGCAGGTCTTGGGTTTAGGGGGTTTCTTCTTGCGCATGGGTGGATGACGACCAGCGCGTCGGCGTTTTTTCTTGGGTGGGGACCGTAGAGCCCCTCGTTTCTTGGCATACTCTTCGGCTCGATGGTAAGCATTGGCGTAGGCCCATTGCTGTTTGGTAGGACTGGCCAACTTGTCCCACCACGGTTGGGTTTGCCGTTGTTCGGCGGCTTTTTTCTGGATGAATTTCAGGACGTCCGCGTCACTGGTGGGAGAGGGCGTGTAACTGGCCCGTGGTCGACTGGAATCCGCCAGGACTTCATCGAGAAACCGCACCCGCTTTTTTCTTTTTCGAGGCGTTATTTTGACGCGGACCATGTTGCGCAGGAATCCAACTATCGTACTTGGCCGGCCACCCTTTCCACCGGACCAAGATCTGACGTCCTTTCCGTTTCAAGACTTTTTCGATTCGAAACAACGAGTCGTCCGAGACTTGGACTTTTTGCACATCGGGTTCGTAAAACGTGCCTTTTATAGGCGTACCGTCCCATTCGCTGAGCTGATAGGTCACCACGGGATGACGACGCACATGCGTGACCACAAACACTTCTTCCGTCCACCCCGGCAAATACCCTTTTTTGAAGGGACGATGTTTCTTGTTGAGACGCACCCGATCGCCCACGCGACATTTGGGTGGGGGGATCTTGGGCTTCAACCGTGATCCATAGAGTCGATCCCATACCTCGGACTCGTTTCGAAAGGTGACTTGATGCGGCGCCAACCCAATGCTGCGATGATAGGTGTGATTGTAGGTATAGATTAAGGGTTGCAAGACGTCCACGTACCGTAACGTATTGTGCGCGGTAAAATACCGGTACATCCGTTGTTTCAAGGTACGATGCCATCGTTCCACCACCGAGGCTTTGCTATCCCCATACGTGAAAAAATGATGCCATCCATGTTTCTTGAACCAGGCTTGGACCTGGCGATTCAAAAATTCTTGGCCTTGATCCGTTTGCACACGGAGGGGTCGTCGCGGCGAGGCCTGTCGGCGTATCGTTTCCAACCCTTTGATCATGTTGGTGGCACTCTTGGATTTGATGGGGACGGCCCAGGCATACTTGGACAGGACGTCGATGACCGTCAACAAATATTTGTTCCCCTGATTCCACCGACTGAGTTTTTGCATGTCCACTAAATCCATCTGCCATTGTTCGTCTCGGCCAAAGACCAACGTGGGGGTGGTGGGAAATCGGGTCCGTCGGGGTTTGTGGAGCGTATAGCTCAACACGGATTGAAGAATCTGTTGCGCTTGCGGGGATTTCAATTTATGGGCTCGGGCAAAGGGTTGGACCCCACCCAAGGCCCCCGGTTCTCGGGGATCTTCGTAAGCGCGTGGCAACGACATCAAGACACTGACACAGGATTCGAGTCCAAGTTTGTCTTTTAATAGTTTTTTTTCACCTTACATGAATTTTTTTCAAAACAAACACGAACTGCCAAAGTTCTTATGTAAATGGCGCCTTCTTTCAAACTCTCGATCCTGGGCTTGGATCGACTCACCAAACTGTTTCATCCACGGATCATACTTTAGCTTGTCTATCGCGGGGTTTGGCCTCTCACCATAACGCATCTCTACAGCGTGCAGGCCCCAGGGTCTCTCTTTCTCGGGGTCTTTCATAAGCTTGTGTTGGAGCTCAGGGGGTGTGTCTTTCACCCATCGTCTCAGGGTCGGTTGCGCTTGTTCACGGGGGCACCACAAGGGACCATGGAGCCATTGAAAGTAGCCACAGGGGTCTCTCCCAGGGACAAAGCTCCCACAACTGAAAAACACTTTGTTACGATTTTTGGCCGTGCGACTCAATTTCATCTTGGGAACCAACTCACACTTGCACTTGAGCTCTCCGTGTTTCAAACGGGCATGGACTTGAGGATGCGTGTCGTTTTTTAAAGCCTCCATCATTATTTCTCGCGTGTCTTCAAACAAATAGACTGGACACCCTGGTTGGGGACACTTGAATCTCAGGGGACCAAACCTGGCTTGGGGGTTGACACATTGAATGAATTGATGGGGATGAAACGGGCACACTTCATACAGGAGTTGGTTGAACTGGGTGTCCATCTGGTCTATGTCCTGGATATCCCATTCTCCCACTTCGGTGGCTGGATCTGAATGAAACGTCCCTTCCTCTACACATTCTTCTTTATAGTCTTTCAGGGTGCCCTCCATCAATGCGTTCACGGATTGATCGGTGGGAGAGGGTGTGGGCAGTGGGTCCACCGCTTTAGGCAAGGCATCGAGCGCGATCACCAGTTCACTGGTAGGGGGTTGTTTGGCTTTCATCTCTACGAGTTCTGCTCGGGAAAACCCGAGCTCGGCCATCTCCTGATCATGATCCGCTTTCATCTGTGCAGCTCGCGCTTGGGCTTTCTCCTCTTCTTGTTTTTGTTTCTTACTCACGCGACGTCGTTTGCGTCCCGAAGGCACTGCGGCAGGTTGAGTGGCTTGACGATTCATCTGGACGAATGAGTTCCAGGGAGCGTCTACTCGGCCTTTTATAGCCCCTCCTTTTGCCTCATGTGATGTCCCTCGTGATGCTCATACGATCTTTTTTCCACCAATCCGGACTCGTCCTGGGATCTCGTGAGGGTGGTGTGATGTGGGTCTCTACCAATCAGCGACCACTCTAGTGGCTATAAAACCCGCGAGGCATCCAACACCCCTCTCATTCATTGCAGTCAAACCAACACAGTAAGTATGACGCTCCATCAAGTGGGTCTTTTGGTGTACAGTCAGGGGTTTGCCCTTTCCCGAGACGAATATATTATTCGCGAACTGGCGTTTTGTGATTGGACGGGACATCATCATGGCTTGATCAAATATTTGTTACCCGAAGGCGTGTCGTATCATCCATTATCCGAAAAAGCCCGGACACGTGTCGATCGTCAAACCCAGTCCGTGCATGGTTTGCCGTTTGACCCCTTTGTGCCCGTTCATAACGGCCAACACTTTCATCCCTACCATCAGCTCCACGACGATATCGCCGATTGGTGTCAACAGTATCTCACCCCCCAACGAAATCGAATCGGGGTCCACACGCTCAACGGACTGGCTACATTGTTCCAAGAGCCCCCGTTTGCCTACCCTCTCGTGGTCTTGGAAAAGCAGGGATGTGAGGATTTGGCCAATCTTCCTATTGCCACCGCCAATGTCATGGCTCATAACAATCATGGTCACAATTGGTGTATGGATCATTCCCACCAGGCCCGTGGGAGCGGCGTCTGGCACGATCATTGTGCCCACGTGCGGGTCTGTCAAATGAGTGGATGGCTCCGTCGCCAGACAAATGTCTTACCCACCCTTTCGCAAATCAACGCCCAACGTGTACTGTGGCAAAAACGATGTGATCGATTATTGGACCATGTGTTATGTAACCATTGTACCGAGGAAAAAGACAAGGCGTTCGCCAATGGGCAAGGCCTGGATTGGATCCCGGATAATTGTCGTGATTGTCGTAGCGTCTTGCATGTCTTGGAACAAACCGTGACTCGCCAGGAATGGGATGTCCCCTTACTGTACGCCGATGATGAACCGCACACCATGTGGGCTTGGACACCCATTCCTCATCCTAAAAACTGACTTTTTTCTTCATTTTTTTTCAGAGGATGCTCATTTACACAGGCGGGGCTAAAGGCGTAGACACGCATGTGGAGCATTTATGTCACTTGCATGGTCATTCGTGTGTGGTGTTGATCCCACCCTGTCACCCTCGATCCAAGGCCCTCACGCCCTTGACCCAGGTTCAGTTGGATGCGGCCACGCCTACCGTCACCCAAGTGGCATTTCGATTGGGTCGACAACTCCATCATCCCATCAGCCTCCAGTACATTCAACGCAATTATCACGTGATTCACCCCGCCTCCCTGGTCTTGGCCTTGGGTCATTTTGACGAACTCGGCAAGCATTTGTTGGGTGGTACAGGATGGGGTGTGGTCATGGCCCAGATTTTAGGCAAACCCCTCTATGTGTTTGATGTGGACAAAGAACAATGGTTTTGGTGGAATCCCACCTCCCAAGAATATCAAGTCTGTGACGGCATGACGGAGGAACAAATCGCGTTACCCACCCTCCAAGACAAGACCGCCATTATCGGCACCCGAGAAGAAGACTCGGTTCTTTATCCCACCCTGGAAGCTTTATTTAAACGCCAATGAAAAAAAAAAAAAAACATTTGCTCTAGACAAATCATGTGTTTTTAATGTTCTTAATGTACAT